ATTTCCAAATAATTTGTTTCTCGATAACTTTCCAACTCCCAACTAAAGAAATCATCTCGATCATCATAATCTGTTGGGAATTTCATGCCGAGACCGGGAGGATCAAATTGTTCCTCAGACAACTCCAACTCTACATCTGTATCCACATCTGCATTCATATGTGTATCTTCCAAAAACTTATCCATCGAAATCTAGAAAAACAACTAGTAAATTATTTGGGTCTTATAATCAAGCGAATGTTTTTTACAGATTTATGTTCATTATTTACTTTGGATATCGTCATAAAATACATTCTACTCCAAATCAATTTAAAATATGAACATTATTTTAAAGTTAATGTCTTATTCTAGTTCTTTGCCGTTAGTTAAGTGTAAGAACCTTAATTTAAAAAAAATCGCATCTAAAATAGTAAAATAGAAGTCGTTCTTCCGGTTAAGCCTTAATGCTCTCCCTCTCCCCCCGCGGGAAAATTTCGAAAAATTCCTTTTTAGTGTGCATTCCCATGTTATACCCTACTAAAACGCAGTTAAAAACAAAAATTATTTCAAAAAACAAAAAAATTGTCTTTTTTGCTGTTTTTCAAAATTAAAATGAATATTAAATTCAATTAAAATTGGTATATTCATTTTCTCGAATAATCCGCGCGTTGGAGGTTTTAGATTGTGCAAGGCTCTAGACGAGAGTTAACTTACGAGACTTTTCTCATATAAGGCCGTGTGGTGAGGACATTGCCCGACATATTCGGGTCAGGCCGCTCACGAATAACTGGAATTGCTCAGCTTTGATTCCGACTCCCAGATCGATAACTGACGCCTTAAATGATATAAAATTTTAGTTTAATGAGTTTTATTTCTCCAATCTATATATATAATCGAGACGAGTTGATAATAATAATAATCAGCACAGAGCCCAAACGGTTAGGAGTTCAACGTTGAAATTTGATACACAGATAGGGTACGTCACGAAAACGCACACTAAGAAGGGATTTTTCGAAATTCCTCCCCACGGGAAGAGGGACAGGATTAAGGCTTAACACTTCCATCAACAATGGAAGTGTTAAGTAACAATGGAAGTGCTAAGTAACAATAAAAGTTTTAAGTAACAATGGAAGTTTCAACAATGGAAGTGTTACGTAACAATGGAATTGTTAAGAGAAAGCGACGTGCAAGACGCAGATGCAGTTCTTTCCGTTTTTGCGGGAAATCGAACATATTTTTAGACCCATCTAAAAATTCTCTAATTAGTTTGGAAACAAGGGGACCCAATTCTTGCATTTTGTGAAAACGGGTAAGGCTGACTGTAACGTAATAATCTTTATCTTAGTTATCGTTACTTTTGCCCGAGCAACGCCGGGCCAACCTGCTAGTTGACATATATTTCCGAAAAAAGAGAACAAAAAACAATATCGGTATTTGTTCCAACTTTAGAGTAAAGATGTTAGACGGTTCTAACTAGAAGTAGAGAAATAGAGAATTGATTTGCCCGTGCATATTGGAGAAAGCATTTCAACACTAGAAATAAATTTGATTTTATATAGGAAATATACTGAAAGTGTTGAATCAAAATGATAACCTACTTCTGTTCTGAATTATGAAAAAAATATATATTTAATAACATTTACATTCACGGTAGAATGGGCGAGCAGTTAAAGTGGCAGCTACCGACCTGCGGGTCCCGTGGTTCGTATCTGGATGGATCGAAAACCACCAGGGATTTTTCGGTAGTATTTGTCCGGATATGTTGGACCTCGTCCTTCATCATTCAACCGTCCCATTGTGGGCCTAGCCAAACCCATAATGGGTTTGCTAAAACGACCCTTTTAGTGCACACACGGTGGAAGAAGTGAAAAAACTAATAATAATGTTTAAATTTGTATTATAGTGTCTGTAATTATAACAGTATGAATGTACTATGATANTGTTCGTATCGTGGAGCAAAAATATGTTCGAATTTCATGTCGTATCCTGAAAATTTTGTATGCTGGGGCGTTCGTAACCTGAGGTACCACTGTAAAAATTTTTACCAGTATTTCTCCAAGATTTTTTCATGTGTTTTATAAATGCTCAATGTATCCACTTTTGCAAATATGGCAAACATCTAGACCAGTGTTTCTCAACCTCTAATGAATCATTGCCCCCTTCAATAAAACCGTTACGTAGTATCGCCCCCTTCACTTCAAAATTCTGATGTCGAGGGCCAAGGCTAATGCCAAATTCATACTGCATTGAATAGATTAGTGACTAGTATAATGTTATTTGTTTAATTATTGTACAATATAACAAATAAAATATCTAATTATTCTTAATATAATGTTTTACTATATCGCCCAGAAAATTGTTTTTTGTCCCCAAAATATAATTTTTAGTAATAGCCCCCTCATGGAAAAATGCCCACATGGGGGCGATATTGCCCCGTTGAGAAACACTAATCTAGACAATACTCCATTTTATCTCACATGCATGTGATCATGTCATGATCGATAAGTATCACAGTAACAGCAATATAATTGCAATCTGTGGGATAGTGGGGAGTGGAGATACAAAAATAGTATCCTTTGTGAATTCCACAAGACTTTTCTTGTGGGATTAAATCCAAGACAGTGGCCATTGCATTAATGACTTACTATGGTGACCCATGCATCCTATCCAATATTGTTGAATGTTATCATTGAGGTAATGTTGAATTTCTTGGTGGTAATGAGCTAGGCAGTGTCATCATTACTATCTTCATTAAGCCATGGCATCAGCCAGTCTCCAACATATTTACTCTAATTCCAATACTTTACAGTACTTTTTAACTGATTAATATATAAGATTAATATATATTATATATTTAACATATACTATATGTTATATATTAAGAAAATTTTTAAAAAGACATATTTTTATTCTTTACGTCCCCATGTAATAATTTCTTCAGACTAGCAAGAGTGCACTGTATTAAAGATTTTGACATGAGGATCTGTTTTGTTTTGAATATAAATTCTGTTCATACAATTTTTAAAACTCTCAAATATATATTATTTTTATTAGTTCTTACATTTTGAAACAGCAATTATTAATTGTGATTTTATAATAAAGATTATTTCATAAAAATGTTTTATTTTATAGTTTAAAATGCAAGTTTCAGTGACTTATTATACTTCAAATGTTCAAGTAGAATTATTGGAATACCTTTGAAAAACTGTTCTTTATTTGATTTAGATATCGTAATCTAATGATGAGGCAAACTGTCTCAAAAGTCCTTTAATCTTGATTAAAATATTTGGACTCCTTAATATTTTTAGCATTTCTATACAGGTATACCTCGCCTTATGTCGGTAATTGGTTCCAGGAGAACGACTTAAGTCGAATTTACTTGTCTCCAAATCTACTTGTCACTAGGCTAAACCATAAATTGCCAATTCCGGTTCTGTATTTTATTTATTAATGCATTTTTAATAATGTATGGTTAATAAGGATCTATTTTAAGCTTACAAACAAATAAATTTCAGTTTTTAATATAGTACAGAAAAAAAGTAATCTAAAGTAATCTAAAATATATACATTTACAAGTATGTACTGTATTTACAGTACATACTTGTAAATGTATATATTTTAATATGATTTTATGTGCTTTAAACATTTTTCTAGTGATATTACAACTTCAATATTTGTGGCGGACAGACGTAAAGTCGAATAAAATGACTTAAATTTGATTTTTATTTTTCCATATACTTTTTTGACAAACGACGTATAATCGGGAACGACGTAAGTCGAGGTATACCTGTATTTGTGTGATTATTCTGATGGAGTCATATAAATCTTATAAACAGAATTAAAATATAAATTTATAATTCACAAATTTTAACTTATGACAAATGATTTTATTAAATTATTTTATGCAATAAATTATGTAAAATAACATATAATACTTTTTGTAATTGCTATTAGATATTTACCGTTTATTGGGATTAGCATCTCTCTTTAATAAATATTTAACAATATCCACATGATTCAATCCAACTGCTATGTGTAATAATGTAAAATTCTCCTGAATGCATGGAATTTCATCAACATTCTGATCTAAAAGCAATTTCTCCAGTTTCCTGAGGGGAGAAAAGTTATATTTTAAAACTGGGATACATTTCTGTTTATAATGTATATTTTACTCAAAGATTTAAAAAATATTATTATTTTAAAAATAAAAGCACATCTTACTCCAAATTTCCTTCCAAGATTGCTTGTATGGGTTCTTCCATCCAGTATTTACTATTGAACTGTTTTGTAGTTGCCGTAGCCATATTTTAAAACAAAATTCTATTTCTTCTTTTGTTACTGACTTAAAAACGTTTCTCGTATAAAATCTTTCCTACTGTTTAATAATATCAAATGAAATAATGAACTTTACAGTTTTTCGGTCGAGTAACTTTCTTCTTTACAAGTTTGCAATAGATTATACAGAAAGCCGTTAAAAAACAGATTTCCGTATAATCATAGTAGATTAACGAAATCTATCGATCATTATAGATTAACAAAACAAATAAATGTTCATTTTAAGACGACATTGTGTACATCGTGACGAAAACTAACCAATTTCTCCTATTATCTGTAAGCGGAATCATTTTATCTATATATAAACGTAACAGAAATAATACCAAAATTTGTTTTAACATTACTGATGATTAGTGTAAGTCAATTAAAAAACCGTTAAGTTTTATAACAGTCGTCATTTATATTCAAAATCGACTGCTGTGTGACGACAAAGAAACGAAACGAAAATTCGTTATGGTTTGGCTATTAATTAATTACTGTACAATTGTTTTCAATATTGTTTGTTATTTAAAACTTCGGTGATAACGGTTCGTTAGTTCATATTGGATCGAAATAATCACATGTCAAAAACACGTGCTATTTACATTTTTTACCGCTAGGGGCAGTATTATCGGACAATTAATCTGAAACATTGAAACATTTTTTCGATTAAATGAATTAATAATTATTAATAACAACAGTTTTTAAATTATATAGTGTTAATAAATTTCTAGTCGTTCATTTTCTATTTTTGACTGTTTGACCGTCTTGTCATCCGACCGTTTTATTTATAATTGCTAATTAATAGTATTCTTATCTAAGGCTTTCACACGGTTCATTATCATAGTCTCATCGGAATTAGCTTCTTAATAGAAGATTAATCCGAAGATAAATATGGCTGTAAATTTAGGTGAGTGCAATAAAATCTGGAAAACGCGAGAATTTTCCTCGACCAAAATGCGACAGTCTCGAGTGTTTACTGTTCACTGAGGTGAAAACGTGGCTCGTCTCTCCACAGGATGTTTTATGATTCATTCTAACAAGAAACACCAATGCAAAAGTTAGTCGGGTTTCTTTGTCGGCTGCAAGCAACTGCTATTATTATACGGATGACAATGTACTAACTTTCTCCATATCAGTGGCCACTCAAGATTTAATCTCAGGGAGCCGAGTTGAACGGATAAAAATACTTTTAATGCGAACTCAATAAAATTTGCCATCTTTAAAGTTAATACGTTTGCCGGTTAGGCCGGCCTTGTAAATTTCCAAGGTTTCCAGGTTCCAGTAAATGTATTAACTTTAAAGATGGCAACACTATCCTATGCACGGAAGTACATTTATGAAAAACCGGGCAACACTAGCATATATAAATTTATCTGAGCTATTATTTACATCTTAAAAAATTATTGTATATGGGATAGTTATATTTTTTATGATTTTTTGTAATGTCTAACGTTCAAATTGTTTTATATTCGTTTAGTGTTGTTCCAAATTATTAAAAATAATTTTTCAAATATGTTTGTTCTACGCATTCTATTTTGGAATTTTTTTGTTAAAAACTGAAGTAGACCTTAGATACGGTCGAAAACGTTCGTTTTCATTGAAATTTGTGTTACTGGAGTTTAAAGGTTTTAGATTGTGTATGATTCGTTCTAGTAATTCGGTAAGAAGATAGTTTAAACCCGTTATTAGGACATTGGAAAATTGGAATAGCAAAAAAGCAATTATTATTTTATTTCAAACTTTACGAAGGTAAATTTACAGTGGGATAAAAATATATATTTTTCATTAATAGAAATTTAATTATATTATTTTGATGAGAAGATAATCTAAGAAAATATATACAGTTGACCCCCCAAAATCTAAGTCAGTTTCCACGTCACGCGAAACGCAAGAATGTGGGCAACAATAGATTTTTCAATTGTTACGATTGCTTTGTTGAGTGGTATTTTCGAAGGCGAAAGAAGTTTTCGAGATTTTTTGCTTGCTTTCTTAAGGAAAATTGTTTTGACTATAAATGTGAGTATTATTTTGACACACTATAAAATATACTGTACAACTATTTTTATAAAAATAGAATTACCGATGTAGAAACTTGTCATTAGGTTCTTAACTGCGTTTTAGTATGGTATGCTATGGGAATGCGCACTAAGTAGGGATTTTTCGAAATTCACCAGCGGGGGGAGAGGAAGAGCATTAAGGCTTAACCTGAAAAACGACTTTTGAAATCGATTTCATACTTTCCCTTAAATTGATAACATTTCAGACATTATTATAAATATTTTTATGTATTTCGATTTTTTAACCAAATGTTCGAACCGTTTTAAATTAGAATTTGTTATTGCATATTGGTTCGATTATAGAACAATTGTAAACGTTCCAGAAAATTGATCAAATTGAAAACAGTTCGTTTGATTCTCAGCAATTCTCATCATTCTCAGCGGTAGGTGTTATATAACAATTACTATGGTTGTTGAAATACTGAATATAAATGGGGTTTGCTTGCAAAACCTCCGCGGGCGAAGTCGCGGGTAACAGCTAGTTTTAATAATAAATAATATCTTTTGTTTTTCTATAACATATTATAAAAATTATTTCATTTCCATAATATAAAAACAATATTAAAAATGAGATAAAATACGTATTAAATAAATATAAAAATTTTACCTATTGAAACCATCTTTAATAGCTTCCAGCTCAACTTTCTCATCATAGGTTATATTATTCTCGCTTCCATCGTAAGGAAAGCAAACATCGTTTTTAGAAACCTGTTGCAAATTACAATCGTTGTCGTTGAAACAATCCTCAGTAAGATCGAGAACGATTTCCAAATAATCTGTTTCTTGGTAATTTTTAAAGTCCAAACCGAAGAAATCATTCCAATCATGATTATCTATTGGTAATTTCATACTGAGGGCACGAGGATCAAAATGCTCCTCACACAACAACTGTGGATTTCTGAAAACAATAACAGGAAATGAGATAAAAATACCTATCAAATACGTATATACGTAAGATTTTTATATTTAATCTTACCTGTTGAGACAATGGTTGACAGCTTGCAGTTCAACTTTCCAAGAACGCGATACATGATGATTTTCGTACTCATCGCAACGAAAGTAAACATCCTTATCATCAACCTGTTGCGAATTAGAATCGTTCTCGATCTTGCCGAAGCAATCCTCGGCAAGATCGAGAACGATTTCCAAATAATTTGTTTCTCGATAACTTTCCAACTCCCAACTAAAGAAATCATCTCGATCATCATAATCTGTTGGGAATTTCATGCCGAGACCGGGAGGATCAAATTGTTCCTCAGACAACTCCAACTCTACATCTGTATCCACATCTGCATTCATATGTGTATCTTCCAAAAACTTATCCATCGAAATCTAGAAAAACAACTCGTAAATTATTTGGGTCTTATAATCAAGCGAATATTTTTTACAGATTTATGTTCATTATTTACTTTGGATATCGTCATAAAATACATTCTACTCCAAATCAATTTAAAATATGAACATTTATTTTAAAATTAATTTCTTATTCTAGTTCTTTGCCGTTAGTTAAGTGTAAGAACCTTAATTTTAAAAAATCGCATCTAAAATAGTAAAGTAGAAACCGTTCTTCCAGTTAAGCCTTAATGCTCTCTCTCTTCCTCTGCGGGAAAATTTCGAAAAATTCCTTTTTAGTGTGCATTCCCATGTTATACCCTACTAAAACGCAGTTAAAAACAAAAAAATTGTCTTTTTTGCTGTTTTTCAAAATTAAAATGAATATTAAATTTAATTAAAATTGGTATATTTATTTTCTCGAATAATCCGCGCATTGGAGGTTTTAGATTGTGCAAGGCCCTAGACGAGAGTTAACTTACGAGACTTTTCTCATATAAGGCCGTGTGGTGAGGACGTTGCCCGACATATTCGGGTCAGGCCGCTCACGAATAACTTCTGGAATTGCTCGCTCAGCTTTGATTCCGACTCCCAGATCGATAACTGACGCCTTAAATGAATAAAATTTTGGTTTTATGAGTTTTAGTTCTCCAATTGACATATAATTCCGAAAAAAGAGAACAAAAAACAACACCGGTATCCAACTTTAGAGTAAAGATGTTAGACGGTTCTAACTAGAAGTAGAGAAATAGAGGATTGATTTGCCCGAGCGTATTGGAGAAAGCATTTCAACACTAGAAATAAATTTGATTTTATATAGGAAATATACTGAAAGTGTTGAATCAAAATGATAACCTACTTCTGTTCTGAATTATGAAAAAAATATATATTTAATAACATTTACATTCACGGTAGAATGGGCGAGCAGTTAAAGTGGCAGCTACCGACCTGCGGGTCCCGTGGTTCGTATCTGGATGGATCGAAAACCACAAAGGGATTTTTCGGTAGTATTTGTCCGGATATGTTGGACCCCGTCCCTCATCATTCAACCGTCCCATTATGGGCCTAGCCAAACCCATAATGGATTTGCTAAAACGACCCTTTTAGTGCACACACGGTGGAAGAAGTGGAAAAACGAATAATAATGTTTAAATTTGTATTATAGTGTCTGTAATTATAACAGTATGAATGTACTATGATAAAGTATTTATAATTATATTTTAAATCACAAATTTTTCTGGGTTTTTAAACTCCCCATCTGGGTTTTTTCCATCCAGACCAAAGTTTTTTCATATGTCGCGAGTGGTATCCTTGTTCTTCAATGCATATTATAGTATATCTTAAATTCTAAACGATCGACATAACTGAAATATTGTGAAAATATTTTAATTTTTAATAAAGAACTGATAATGAATTTATCAACAAACAACAAAAATTAATTCATCAATTATTTATTGTGTCATCGTCACGATGCCGGGTTGCAATTTTTAATCATATTTTTAATTTATTTAATTTAAAATATATTCTCTCCATCTCAAATTAATAGTGGCTTGTCCACGTACTGTACATCATACTTTTCCTTTAACAATATAGTCGTGCAGGCCACATATTAACTGCTTTCAGGGGAAAAGGTTTGAATTGAAATAATGTGATATCCGGTTTGCACTGGAATTCGTATATAGTTCATCGGAGCCGCCTGCCCCTATGGCTTATATATCTGGTCTCGGGTTTTATCCAACTCCTGACGGCCGGATGGCCGAGTGGCGAAGGTGGCAGCCTACCGCTCTGGAGGACCCAGAATCGAATCCAGACGGGTCGAAAATCCCCAGAAAATTTCCGGATGTCGGGAACCGCACCTCACCACCCTGCTGCTCCATTGTGGGTCTGGCCGAACCCATAATGAGCTTGCTAAAAAAAGGCCCTCTTAGTGCCCACAGACTTTAAAAAAATCTATCTAACTCCTTTCTCGACATTAAAAAAAAGACGGACGAATGACAATGGTCTACCGGAAATAGGTCTACAGTTTTTTTTTTTTTAAATTGCAGCCCAATCAATTTAAATTAAAAATAAATTTTTTTTATTAAAATAAAAATGAAAAATGTATTTAATATTTAATGTTACCAATTATTTCTGAAATGATAATTTTTATTGTAAAATAGTCAAAGCACCCGGCGTAGGCCGGACTGTCGAGAGGTTAAAGTTGCTGCTCTGGGGAGTCCAGGATAGAATCCAGACGAGTCCGGATATTTCGGGCACCATCCCTCACCATCCGGCCGCCCTACTGTGGGTCTGCCAAATCCATAAATAACTTCCTAAAAAAGGCTTTAGTGTCCACGGGGGAGAGAGTTAAAGTTGCACCTGGCGTTACTTAGAGAACTATAACGATGATGCTGTACACGTCATTATCTGGCCATAATAAAGTTTTATTTAATATTCAATAACATGTGAATTGTCCACCATAGAGCCTACTGTCGAATTATTTTTGGGAGCCGCTATCAGCTCGGAGCAGGACTTTGAATTCTCGATCAGGGACGATCTTTTCCTCCAGAATTTCTAAGTTATTCAATTAAATCAGAAATTAATTTTGAATTTATTTTTACACAATAATGCTGCTTAACGCCTTTTTAAAGGACCTGTTATGATATTTAATTAATAATCCGACAATTTAGGCTGAAGTTTGATTCAAGACTATGAATAAACAAACATTAAGATCATTGGAATGAAGACGGATTGAATTGATGGACCTTTTTTTTAACTCTTTCCGCCCTGTGGGCACTAAGAGGGCCTTTTTTTGCAAGCCCATTATGGGTTCGGCCAGGCCTACAATGGGGCTGCCGAGTGGTAAGGGACGGAGCCCGACTCGGAACGGATCACTCCCTGAATGAAAAATTCCTGGGGATTTTTCGACCCGTTCGGATTCGAACCCGGTTCTCCCAGAGCGGTAGGCTGCCACCTTGACCGCTCGGCCATCCGGCCGCTGGATTGATGGACTAAGGCAACGCAACACTTGGACGATCTGCCAAGGAGTGTTTCCTTGGAGAACTTTCTATGGAAAGCTGATCCCTATTTAGGTGTCAGACACGCAAAGAAAACCTAGAAAACTCCCTGTAATGAGGCATGAACCCATGATCAACTATCAGCGTTCAATGATTTTTATCCACTCGTGTACTGGTGGACAAGAAAATGGCCAGAAAAAAAGTCGAAAGGTGGAACACGTTGTACTTTTTGTTTATCACGAAAATACAGTCATTTTTGTCTAACTTTTGTGTAAAAGTAAAATTTGAGTTATTAAGCAATAAAATTTTGTTCTCGAAGCTGTCCATAAATTCCCTCCGCATTTTTCTTGAAATTTTTACTCCTTCTCTCTCCTTGTCAGTTTGTCCAAGTTTCCATAAACCCCTCCCTTTTTTCGGACGTCCAACTAAACTCAACCCCTTCTTAAAACCTTTATCACTTTATGGATGATAGGACTTTATTTCTGCATTAACTCCCTCTTCCCTTTCAGTGTGGACGTCATTTATGGACAACCTCTTAGACAGGGATGGCCAACAGTTTTTGCCCCCGGGCCAAATTGGAAAGAAAACTTTTTTCACGGGCCGAACCAGAGGCTGCCTAGGAAGATTTTGAGGTGGTGCGAGATCTCATTGTGGTGTCACCTCGTAGAGACTGAATTGTAGATAGAGATTACAGATACATTTTTCACATTATCATGCTTTATCAACACTCTACGCTGTACTTACGAGATCTGTAATGGAGGGTTAACTCTAAACGCACAGTGAGTTGTTGACCTTTTTTTTTTTGGCGTCAGAATTTTTCATCGAAGTATTCGGACTTCAGTAGCTGATATTGAAAGATTGATCGCGGGCCACAAAAATTCATTAGACGGTCCGGATCTGGCCCGCAGGCCGTATGTTGGCCATGCCTGCGAGCCAGATCCGGACTCTTAGATGACTACAAAATAATGTTGAAAACTATCGTATTATGAAATTATTTACAACTGAAAAATACTTGAAATCCCATTAAAAAAATGTTTGAACCAGGTTGAATAGTAATGCTCAGCGAAAACATCTAAATAAACAAAACTTTTGAAAGTTATGGCATAAGAATACAGGAAGCAGATTCGACAGTAAGACTCGACATGTAAAACAAGTAGGCATTACACAGACTATAACTAAAGAAAGTTTTCGATGAAGCAATGTCATCGTGATAATAAATCGGGAAAACAAGCATCGTCACAAAAAGGCTTCGAACTGTACTTATTGCCTTAAAGTCGTCGCACCTTAAATAATTTGGCCGAACATTAATGCTTAGAGCAACTTCGAACAATTCAATAAAGGAACTTTAAGGCACAAAGTAAAGCTCGAAGCTTTTTTCTGTGATGATGCTTGTTTTCCCAATTTTTTATCGTGGTGACTTTGTTTCATCAAAAACTTCCTGTAGTTGTAGTAGTTTGCGTAATAGGCACTTGTGTATTCACATGTTAATTTTATTGTCAAATCTGCTTCCAGTGTTCTTATGCCACAACTTTCAAAAGTTTTCTTTACTTAGATCTTTTCCCTGAGCTTTACTTTTCAACCTGGTTCCACCAGTTTTTATGGATATACTTAAGGCTGTTATTGTTGGTTGTTGCAGTAACAGTTTTAATTAAGTACTGTATATCTATAAAAACTGAAAACTCAAAAAAAAGGAACTAACTTTATTTAAAAAAATAAATTTTGATAGTTATTCACAATAATCGAGAAAGAGCTATAATAACAAAACATGTCCAGTCTTTTAGTTTCAAAATTTAATTGAAAATGCTTTGTGAAATCTTGAAACAATCCTTACGTAATAAATATACAATTATAATGATTGTAAACTAAATTAGAAATTATCGAAGTGGAACAGTTTCGTGTTCTTCCGTCTCTTCTTCGATGGTATTAAATCTATCGATAAAAATTTCATACGATTATTATTTTATGCGGTTAGAAATTATTTGTCAGATTGAGATCATTCTTACGTTCCAGCCGCCAGATTTTCATAAACAGGTTGTTGTTCCTCTTCGACAATCAGATGACGTGGAGCTGGCAAAGGTCTTTGGAATGGTCTTTGTTGAAATTTTATAGAAATGCTACGTTTTCTCATATTGTACATTTCCTAAAGAATAATAAAGTGAGGATTAATATCACGAAAATTTAGAGTACATTTATAAGGACCTAGTTTTACCTCGTTTGGAGTTTCTTCACTTTCTGGTTTCAGTTCGGTTCTCTTAATTCCTAAATCTTCAACGGCTGAAAAATATAAAAACTCGATTTAATTTTACTTATGAATCGCAATGGCGCATTTTAATTCCAAAATACTTAATCGTACCAATATAAAAATCTTCATAATCTTGTAAAATATCAATTCCAAAGAAGGCTGAAATGATGTCTGGATTTCTAAGATCTAATATCAAAATGGCTATTCCAAGAACGATACACAGTAAACCTATTCGAATTGATCCAAATTAATAATCGTATACAAGCTTCTTTGTCTAAAGTTCACTAACCTGTAAAGAGCGTGAGCCAGAAACTCCATCCGTAATGCAAAACTAATTTTTCTTCTCCTATGGGTATTTCTAATCTGATAAAATTACGAATGCTCGCAAAAAGGATGTTAGCCAGAATCAGACTGCAACCCGTTAATGTCAGAAAATAAGCACCGTATCTGATAACCATGAAGAAAAGTATGTTGCTCAATATCCACAACGGAAAAGCTGTCCTGATTTTATAGAATTTACACAATTACAACACGTATTTTCCAATTAAAATATTTCTGAGAACTTACCACATCATTATGTGGCTGTACCATCCAGCAGTTCTGTAATGTCGTCCGAATCTTATCCCTTCTCCATCTATTGTAAAATATTCGGCTATCCATAAAATTGGATATGGTAGACCTTTCCACTGCGCTGCTCTAAATTCTCTATTAATTCGACCAGCTGAAATTATCACATATAAAAAAAGTATATATATAAAACTTTTATATATCTGCCTCTAAGATGGAGCAGAAGTGGAAATTTAAGATCTTTTATGCTTTCTAAAATATTGTGGCCGGATAAAATATAAAACAGTGTAATATAGAAACAATGTTTTAATACCTGATTCTTCTTTATTGTTCAGATAAATTAACTTAAAAATTAACACAAACAAATATAGTAAAACCTGCGTAAACCGGAATCACACGGTACAGAATAGTTTTTCCGGTTTAAAAGATTTCTGTTTCTAACAGGTTTTACTGTATATTTTTTATATTTGATTATTTTGTTTTATTTATTATAAGATATTTATTACTGTGTAAGTATGCATTCGGCATACATACACAGTGTATACCTTATACAGTACGCAGCCTTATCAATTTCTCTAAAATGGGGTGTGGCCTTTCCACCCTTGTGCTAGATCATTGAATCTTACCTTGTGGACCAAAACCATTCCTTCCCTGAGCCCACTCCCACGAAAATCTTTCATTGTATTGTATCCTTTCTCCCAATTGATGAATAGGCTTACCTATTTTGTAATTTATAAAATTTTAATCAATAAATATATTATGTTATCAAAAGAACATAAATAAAAACTATTATTCATACCAACTAACGTGACATTAATACTTCTCAATCCAATTTTTAATTCGACTTCTGCTTCTACTTCTTTCTTAGTAAAGGCTTTATATTGAGTCGAAGTTTCTACTTTACCCACTTCCCAATCTTGTCCAAAATTACATACTATATATTTTAATAGATTATATTAAATTTTAATATATTTAACTATACAATCAATTATTAAACTTAATTTTCTTACTTAAAATAACCGCACCAATCAGGAGACTTATCGCAAAACGACAGAAGAAAGGTACTTTCTAAATGATAAAATGATTATTTTTAAATTTAAATTAAAGGGTTAGTTGCAGTTAATTAGATAAATCTCACCTCTTTGCCACGTACACCCGGAACAATTAGTAAAAACGAAACGAGGATTATTACAAAAGAAAATATTAATCCAGCAATTAGAACATCCACAGTCACTGGTTGTTTATTTTCTCCATAAATTGTAGGATATCCATTTGTACGAAATGCTGAATACGTACCCATTTTAACTACCTTTTCACCAAATTTACTAAAAACCGAGCTGAATATTTAATGTTAAATTTATGACAAGTTGTCGATAAAGAAAGTTGTTCAAGGAAGTAGCTTTTCACCCCACCAATCAGTGGAGAATCAGAACTTCCTGAGGAAATTCTGATTCATGTAGAATTTCAAGTAAATTCCTCTTTCAATTTATACGATATTTTTTTTACATTGTTTATTTAAAAAATTAATGTTTTATAACATGTTACTTCATATATAATTTATACTTAATTATACATTATTTAGAAATTATTAAAATGAATTTTTATCCATTTTACAAGGTTTTTGTAGAGTGTATGTAATGCAGGGTGAGTCATTACTCTCTTGTACCCTTTTCATTCCAAAAATACTGTTAATGTAGTTAAAGTAGGAAGAATGTATGTATGGAGAATGGAATAGGACCCTTTTTGTTGACCTTGAAAGTAACTTTCAAGGTCACTCATGTTGTAACTCTTTAATGAGCAGAGTTAATGTGAAAGTCCCAATGACGAACTTAAACAGCACCATTTAATTAATTAGTCTAACGAGTAAAACCATTTTCTGGATTTAAATAAATACATTTAGGACTAGATAATTTATGAGGGTAAAAGTGATTTCGTTTTACGTGATTTTTTGAGGTCATGAAAGACTTAAATAAACAAAAAAGCTTAGCTTTTGATATCGATTTATTTTATTATTTATTTATTATATCGATTTATTTTATTATTTAGCATATANAGATTATTCTCGCTTCCATCGTAAGGAAAGCAAACATCGTTTTTAGAAACCTGTTGCAAATTACAATCGTTGTCGTTGAAACAATCCTCAGTAAGATCGAGAACGATTTCCAAATAATCTGTTTCTTGGTAATTTTTAAAGTCCAAACCGAAGAAATCATTCCAATCATGATTATCTGTTGGTAATTTCATACTGAGGGCACGAGGATCAAAATGCTCCTCACACAACAACTGTGGATTTCTAGAAACAATAACAGGAAATTAGATAAAAATACCTATCAAATACGTATATACGTAAGATTTTTATATTTAATCTTACCTGTTGAGACAATGGTTGACAGCTTGCAGCTCAACTTTCCAAGAACGCGATACATGATGATTTTCGTACTCATTGCATCGAAAGTAAACATCCTTATCATTAACCTGTTGCGAATTAGAATCGTTCTCGATCTTGCCGAGGATTGCTTCGGCAAGATCGAGAACGATTTCTAAATAATTTGTTTCTCGATAACTTTCCAACTCCCAACAAAAGAAATCATCTCGATCATCATAATCTGTTGGGAATTTCATGCCGAGACCGGGAGGATCAAATTGTTCCTCAGACAACTCCAACTCTACATCTGTATCCACATCTGCATTCATATGTGTATCTTCCAAAAACTTATCCATCGAAATCTAGAAAAACAACTAGTAAATTATTTGGGTCTTATAATCAAGCGAATGTTTTTTACAGATTTATGTTCATTATTTACTTTGGATATCGTCATAAAATACATTCTACTCCAAATCAATTTAAAATATGAACATTATTTTAAAGTTAATGTCTTATTCTAGTTCTTTGCCGTTAGTTAAGTGTAAGAACCTTAATTTAAAAAAAATCGCATCTAAAATAGTAAAATAGAAGTCGTTCTTCCGGTTAAGCCTTAATGCTCTCCCTCTCCCCCCGCGGGAAAATTTCGAAAAATTCCTTTTTAGTGTGCATTCCCATGTTATACCCTACTAAAACGCAGTTAAAAACAAAAATTATTTCAAAAAACAAAAAAATTGTCTTTTTTGCTGTTTTTCAAAATTAAAATGAATATTAAATTCAATTAAAATTGGTATATTCATTTTCTCGAATAATCCGCGCGTTGGAGGTTTTAGATTGTGCAAGGCTCTAGACGAGAGTTAACTTACGAGACTTTTCTCATATAAGGCCGTGTGGTGAGGACATTGCCCGACATATTCGGGTCAGGCCGCTCACGAATAACTGGAATTGCTCAGCTTTGATTCCGACTCCCAGATCGATAACTGACGCCTTAAATGATATAAAATTTTAGTTTAATGAGTTTTATTTCTCCAATCTATATATATAATCGAGACGAGTTGATAATAATAATAATCAGCACAGAGCCCAAACGGTTAGGAGTTCAACGTTGAAATTTGATACACAGATAGGGTACGTCACGAAAACGCACACTAAGAAGGGATTTTTCGAAATTCCTCCCCACGGGAAGAGGGACAGGATTAAGGCTTAACACTTCCATCAACAATGGAAGTGTTAAGTAACAATGGAAGTGCTAAGTAACAATAAAAGTTTTAAGTAACAATGGAAGTTTCAACAATGGAAGTGTTACGTAACAATGGAATTGTTAAGAGAAAGCGACGTGCAAGACGCAGATGCAGTTCTTTCCGTTTTTGCGGGAAATCGAACATATTTTTAGACCCATCTAAAAATTCTCTAATTAGTTTGGAAACAAGGGGACCCAATTCTTGCATTTTGTGAAAACGGGTAAGGCTGACTGTAACGTAATAATCTTTATCTTAGTTATCGTTACTTTTGCCCGAGCAACGCCGGGCCAACCTGCTAGTTGACATATATTTCCGAAAAAAGAGAACAAAAAACAATATCGGTATTTGTTCCAACTTTAGAGTAAAGATGTTAGACGGTTCTAACTAGAAGTAGAGAAATAGAGAATTGATTTGCCCGTGCATATTGGAGAAAGCATTTCAACACTAGAAATAAATTTGATTTTATATAGGAAATATACTGAAAGTGTTGAATCAAAATGATAACCTACTTCTGTTCTGAATTATGAAAAAAATATATATTTAATAACATTTACATTCACGGTAGAATGGGCGAGCAGTTAAAGTGGCAGCTACCGACCTGCGGGTCCCGTGGTTCGTATCTGGATGGATCGAAAACCACAAAGGGATTTTTCGGTAGTATTTGTCCGGATATGTTGGACCCCGTCCCTCATCATTCAACCGTCCCATTATGGGCCTAGCCAAACCCATAATGGATTTGCTAAAACGACCCTTTTAGTGCACACACGGTGGAAGAAGTGGAAAAACGAATAATAATGTTTAAATTTGTATTATAGTGTCTGTAATTATAACAGTATGAATGTACTATGATAAAGTATTTATAATTATATTTTAAATCACAAATTTTTCTGGGTTTTTAAACTCCCCATCTGGGTTTTTTCCATCCAGACCAAAGTTTTTTCATATGTCGCGAGTGGTATCCCTGTTCTTCAATGTATATTATGGTATATCTTAAATTCTAAACGATCGACATAACTGAAATATTGTGAAAATATTTTAATTTTTAATAAAGAACTAATAATGGATTTATCAATAAACAACAAAAATTAATTCATCAATTATTTATTGTGACATCGTCACGATGCCGGGTTGCAATTTTTAATCATATTTTTAATTTATTTAATTTAAAATATATTCTCTCCACCTCAAATTAATAATGGCTTGTCCACGTACTGTACATCATACTTTTCCTTTAACAATATAGTCGTGCAGGCCACATATTAACTGCTTTCAGGGGAAAAGGTTTGAATTGAAATAATGTGATATCCGGTTTGCACTGGAATTCGTATATAGTTCATCGGAGCCGCCTGCCCCTATGGCTTATATATCTGGTCTCGGGTTTTATCCAACTCCTGACGGCCGGATGGCCGAGTGGCGAAGGTGGCAGCCTACCGCTCTGGAGGACCCAGAATCGAATCCAGACGGGTCGAAAATCCCCAGAAAATTTCCGGATGTCGGGAACCGCACCTCACCACCCTGCTGCTCCATTGTGGGTCTGGCCGAACCCATAATGAGCTTGCTAAAAAAAGGCCCTCTTAGTGCCCACAGACTTTAAAAAAATCTATCTAACTCCTTTCTCGACATTAAAAAAAAGACGGACGAATGACAATGGTCTACCGGAAATAGGTCTACAGTTTTTTTTTTTTTAAATTGCAGCCCAATCAATTTAAATTAAAAATAAATTTTTTTTATTAAAATAAAAATGAAAAATGTATTTAATATTTAATGTTACCAATTATTTCTGAAATGATAATTTTTATTGTAAAATAGTCAAAGCACCCGGCGTAGGCCGGACTGTCGAGAGGTTAAAGTTGCTGCTCTGGGGAGTCCAGGATAGAATCCAGACGAGTCCGGATATTTCGGGCACCATCCCTCACCATCCGGCCGCCCTACTGTGGGTCTGCCAAATCCATAAATAACTTCCTAAAAAAGGCTTTAGTGTCCACGGGGGAGAGAGTTAAAGTTGCACCTGGCGTTACTTAGAGAACTATAACGATGATGCTGTACACGTCATTATCTGGCCATAATAAAGTTTTATTTAATATTCAATAACATGTGAATTGTCCACCATAGAGCCTACTGTCGAATTATTTTTGGGAGCCGCTATCAGCTCGGAGCAGGACTTTGAATTCTCGATCAGGGACGATCTTTTCCTCCAGAATTTCTAAGTTATTCAATTAAATCAGAAATTAATTTTGAATTTATTTTTACACAATAATGCTGCTTAACGCCTTTTTAAAGGACCTGTTATGATATTTAATTAATAATCCGACAATTTAGGCTGAAGTTTGATTCAAGACTATGAATAAACAAACATTAAGATCATTGGAATGAAGACGGATTGAATTGATGGACCTTTTTTTTAACTCTTTCCGCCCTGTGGGCACTAAGAGGGCCTTTTTTTGCAAGCCCATTATGGGTTCGGCCAGGCCTACAATGGGGCTGCCGAGTGGTAAGGGACGGAGCCCGACTCGGAACGGATCACTCCCTGAATGAAAAATTCCTGGGGATTTTTCGACCCGTTCGGATTCGAACCCGGTTCTCCCAGAGCGGTAGGCTGCCACCTTGACCGCTCGGCCATCCGGCCGCTGGATTGATGGACTAAGGCAACGCAACACTTGGACGATCTGCCAAGGAGTGTTTCCTTGGAGAACTTTCTATGGAAAGCTGATCCCTATTTAGGTGTCAGACACGCAAAGAAAACCTAGAAAACTCCCTGTAATGAGGCATGAACCCATGATCAACTATCAGCGTTCAATGATTTTTATCCACTCGTGTACTGGTGGACAAGAAAATGGCCAGAAAAAAAGTCGAAAGGTGGAACACGTTGTACTTTTTGTTTATCACGAAAATACAGTCATTTTTGTCTAACTTTTGTGTAAAAGTAAAATTTGAGTTATTAAGCAATAAAATTTTGTTCTCGAAGCTGTCCATAAATTCCCTCCGCATTTTTCTTGAAATTTTTACTCCTTCTCTCTCCTTGTCAGTTTGTCCAAGTTTCCATAAACCCCTCCCTTTTTTCGGACGTCCAACTAAACTCAACCCCTTCTTAAAACCTTTATCACTTTATGGATGATAGGACTTTATTTCTGCATTAACTCCCTCTTCCCTTTCAGTGTGGACGTCATTTATGGACAACCTCTTAGACAGGGATGGCCAACAGTTTTTGCCCCCGGGCCAAATTGGAAAGAAAACTTTTTTCACGGGCCGAACCAGAGGCTGCCTAGGAAGATTTTGAGGTGGTGCGAGATCTCATTGTGGTGTCACCTCGTAGAGACTGAATTGTAGATAGAGATTACAGATACATTTTTCACATTATCATGCTTTATCAACACTCTACGCTGTACTTACGAGATCTGTAATGGAGGGTTAACTCTAAACGCACAGTGAGTTGTTGACCTTTTTTTTTTTGGCGTCAGAATTTTTCATCGAAGTATTCGGACTTCAGTAGCTGATATTGAAAGATTGATCGCGGGCCACAAAAATTCATTAGACGGTCCGGATCTGGCCCGCAGGCCGTATGTTGGCCATGCCTGCGAGCCAGATCCGGACTCTTAGATGACTACAAAATAATGTTGAAAACTATCGTATTATGAAATTATTTACAACTGAAAAATACTTGAAATCCCATTAAAAAAATGTTTGAACCAGGTTGAATAGTAATGCTCAGCGAAAACATCTAAATAAACAAAACTTTTGAAAGTTATGGCATAAGAATACAGGAAGCAGATTCGACAGTAAGACTCGACATGTAAAACAAGTAGGCATTACACAGACTATAACTAAAGAAAGTTTTCGATGAAGCAATGTCATCGTGATAATAAATCGGGAAAACAAGCATCGTCACAAAAAGGCTTCGAACTGTACTTATTGCCTTAAAGTCGTCGCACCTTAAATAATTTGGCCGAACATTAATGCTTAGAGCAACTTCGAACAATTCAATAAAGGAACTTTAAGGCACAAAGTAAAGCTCGAAGCTTTTTTCTGTGATGATGCTTGTTTTCCCAATTTTTTATCGTGGTGACTTTGTTTCATCAAAAACTTCCTGTAGTTGTAGTAGTTTGCGTAATAGGCACTTGTGTATTCACATGTTAATTTTATTGTCAAATCTGCTTCCAGTGTTCTTATGCCACAACTTTCAAAAGTTTTCTTTACTTAGATCTTTTCCCTGAGCTTTACTTTTCAACCTGGTTCCACCAGTTTTTATGGATATACTTAAGGCTGTTATTGTTGGTTGTTGCAGTAACAGTTTTAATTAAGTACTGTATATCTATAAAAACTGAAAACTCAAAAAAAAGGAACTAA